CATGAGGATAAAAACTTTTGTTTTGCCCACAGTTTTTTTCAATAACTAGCATGGTATCTGGCATACAGCAGGTACTCAATAAGTGTTTCTTGAACAAATGAATAATAGTACTAACAGTGAATGTTTGCTCTGTGTGAGCTAATCACATGTTTATGATGGGGCAGGAGCTGGGGGCGGCTTGACTGGTCCTCCCATTCATTGGACAGTGATTTCAAGTCTCTCCCCTGGCAGCTCCAGCTCCCAGCACCGAGACCCTGAACACTTCCCCTTTCCTGCCACGGCCAACGCCCCCCTGCAGCGCATCCGCTCCACATCTACTCCCAACGTCCATATGGTCAGCACCACAACCCCCCTGGACTCCAGTCTCATCCAGGTTGGTGTCGAGGGGGCAGTCACGGGGAACCACAAGGCAGAGGGGGAGCCATTCCTGTTGGCCTCCACTTCTCTCTGACTGCTCTCCCTCTTCTTCCAGCTCGCTGCCCAGAGTTTCAACGCTGAAGGTGAGCCCCCCGCTACCTGTGCCTTGAGCCCCCCTGCATCCTACTTGCCTCCACTCACATCCTCTTCACAACCACAGCTGCTGGTAGTAGAGGTGGCAGTGATGGAGTGCCCCGGGGGAGCCCCAGCCCGGCTAGTGTGTCCTCGGGGAGGAAGTCCCCACATTCCAAGTCCCCCTCAGAACAGCGAGAGAGGAAGTCCGTGGCTGATGACAAGAAGAAAGTGGTAAGCTCCAGGGGGAACCTGTGGGGGGCACCACAGGCTGAGCGATAAGGGATGTGGGCAGGCCCCTGAGATGCCGCCCATGTGGCCCACAGAAGAATCTGGGGTACCGGGACTCGGGCTATTACTGGGAGGTGCCACCCAGTGAGGTGCAGCTGCTGAAGAGGATCGGGACGGGCTCGTTTGGCACCGTGTTTCGCGGGCGGTGGCATGGCGATGTGGCTGTGAAGGTGCTCAAGGTGGCCCAACCCACAGCTGAGCAGGCCCAGGCCTTCAAGAACGAGATGCAGGTGCTCAGGTGAGATTGCACGTGTGTGTGGAAGCGGGGAGAGGGCAGTGGGCATGGCCTTGGCACCTCCAGGGAAAGGCCATGCCCGGGCGCTTCTGCACATCACCTGTGTTTGTGTCGTTGCAACCATAAACATTAAGTTGTATCAAGAGTGTCCCTCTCCCCTCTGGGAAACAGGTATGTCTAGAGGACCTCTGATGATGTGATTGTTTGTGTTTGGGTTAATACTGACATTAATTAACAGCTCTGGCTCTAAAACGTGGGTCTTGTTTGCCTGCTGTGAAATGGGCAGGGGTGGGGAACCTTTTTTCTGCCAAGGGCCATTTGGATATTGATAACATCATTTGAAAACCATACAAAATTATCAACTTGAAAATTAGCCTGCTGTATTTGGTCAGACATATCATTAACTCACCCCTAATGCCTTGGTAGGGCCAGACCAAATGATTTCTCGGGCCATATATGGCCCAAGGGCCTGGCATTCCCAATCCCTGCCATAGGACATTAACACCATTGAGTGCATCATTAACACCATTGAGTGCGCTTACATGAATAGCATAATGCTAGTTAACTGCATTGCCAGGAAGGCTTGCATCCTTTCTCCTCTGCTTGTTCTGTGTCATTAGTATTATGCTTATTGTGTTGCATTCTTGTCATTAATTTATTATGATAATGCCATTATTTAAACAACAGTATTACAGTTGACCCTTGAACAACACGGGTCCACTTATTCGTGGGCCTTTTTTCAACCATACTGTAAATGTGTTTTCTCTTCCTCATATTTTCTTACCAGTTTCTTTCCTCTAGCTCATTTTATTGTAAGAATATAGTATATATACTATATAACACACAAAATATTTGTCAATCAATTATGTTATCAGTAAGACTTCTGGTCAACAGTAGGCTATTAGTAGTTAAGTTTTAGGGAGTTGAAAATTATATGTGGAATTTTAACTGCATGGGGGATCAGTGCTCCTAACCCATGTGTTGCTCAAGGGTCAACAGTATTAACTATAATCATAACCATAATTAATTATTGTTTAATTAATGATTGTAGTTGCTCTACTTAACATGTCATTAATACTATATTAGCTCATTTGTGCTGAGTGTTCCCTTTTTGCCGCTCTAGTTACTCCCACTGCAAGGCTTGCTGGCATGGGCTTTCCTCTCTGACAGATGAGCACAGTTGTGTTAGAGTTGATGTTCTAACCCCTTGTGCTGTTTTAATATTTATCCTCATAATGGATGCCATAGTAAGAAAACTTTTTTCCTTTGTGAAATAGCAATGATTTGAGCATGCTGTTAATTTGCATTACATTAATGTTTTAACTGCCATGAAGAATGCTTATGTGCTGTTATCGGCTCTGACATGGCAAAATCGCAGAGCATCACTGACGTTACAGTTGACCCTTGAACAATGTGGGGGTAAGGGGTGCCGACCTCTCTGCACAGTCAAAAATTTGTGTAAAACTTTAGGTTCTAGGACCCCCCAACAGATACAAAAATCTTCAGATGTTCAAATTCCTTATATAAAATGGTGTAGATCAGTGCATACAGTCAGATTTCGGAATCCATGGACTCCCAACCTCAGATCGAAAACTGTACAGGTAATTTATGGAAAATATCCATGTATAAGTGGATCTGTGCAGTTCAAGCCTATGCTGTTCAAGGGTCAACTGTATTTACACTTGTGCTACCATAACTGCAGTTAATCCTTCTATAAGGAATGAAGGTTTTCTTCTAAATTAGGGTTGATCTATTCATATGTGACAGAGTTCCCGTGAGGTAGAGCCAGGTACCTAGGAGCAATGACAAGGACAGTGACCTTTACAGAGGGCTTACTTGTGTTCGGTGCTGTTGTATGTGCCTTACAGATTATTTACTCACTCCTCCCAACATCTGCATAAGATAGCTAATATAATTATCACATTTGAGGAAAATAAGACACAGATTACTAGTAAGTGTCCTCCTGAGGTTGCACAGTGAGTACCTGGGGAAGCCTGGATTGGAACATAGGATCTCACTTGAGTCCAAAGCCCAACTTCCTTACTGCTAAGTCTCTTGTGGTGATCAATCAGATATAATCACATCACTGATATTTTTACCTGGCATTTATCAATATTACACGGCTATAGCATAATATTGATAAGTTGGCATTCCACTTTCTTGTTTGTAGAATGGTCACAGGCCCAGATACAAAAAGGGTCAGGGTCAGAGGTATGGCAGGTGTTGGTGATTAAGACCCTACTGGGTGGCAGAGGGTTGGGGGTAGTCATCCATCCCTCCTGCTTTTGTTGGGAGACTTGGATGAAGAAGCTCAGAACGTAAGCCCCAGCTCCGAATCAGCCCAGCAAAGATATCTCACATAGCCATTGAATCTGACTAGGTCTGGCCCTGAGCTTCCTAAACGGCAGGGTGGAAATGATGACAGAAGAGGGCAGTGAACAGCATATTCCTAATGCTCAGAAAGTGAATGACAGTTCCTCTTTTCCCTCCCTGCCTGCAGGAAGACACGTCATGTCAACATCTTGCTGTTCATGGGCTTCATGACCCGGCCGGGGTTCGCCATCATCACACAGTGGTGCGAGGGCTCCAGCCTCTACCACCACCTGCATGTGGCTGACACACGCTTCGACATGGTCCAGCTCATTGATGTGGCCCGGCAGACTGCCCAGGGCATGGAGTGAGCCTCCTGGCCTAGGGACTAAGAGGGGGCTGGGGAACCTGGGGGAGGGAGATGAGGTAGCCCCCAGCCAATTTGCCACCCACTTCCACCCCCACAGCTACCTCCATGCCAAGAACATCATCCACCGGGATCTCAAGTCTAACAGTATCTATCTGTTCCTGTCTCAGAGCTGGGGTGGGGTGAGGACTTAGAGAGATGTGTCTTGTGCTGGGGGAGGGGGGTGGTTTCTGAGGATGAATAGGGAGGGGCATGTGTCACATGGCCCTTGCCAGGTGGCAGAGCTGTGGCTGGTGAGGAGCCTTTAGTAGGGTCTCCTGGTCAGGAGTCAGAGTTGTGGCTTGTTCAGGTGCTGTTCTTGGGACTCTGGTCAGAGTTTGTGTGGCAGTTGTGGAAGGCATTATAGAGAGTTCCTGATCAGGGTCACAGGTATGGTGGGTATGGGTGCCCTTAGAGGGGCTTCCTATTCAGAAGTCAAGGGGCCAAGTGTAGGGGGCACTAATTGGAGCTCCCACTCAAGTCAAGGTTGTGGTGGGTTTGCGTGACATTGTGGGACTTCTGGTCAGGGTTAGAGGCATGACTGGTTTGGAGGTGTTAATGAGAGCCTCCTAGTCAGGGTGAGAGGTGTGGCTATTGGGAGTCTTGTAGTGGCCCTTGACCACGGTGGACATCTTCCTACATGAGGGGCTCACAGTGAAGATCGGCGACTTCGGCCTGGCCACGGTGAAGACAAGATGGAGCGGGGCTCAGCCCTTGGAGCAGCCCTCAGGCTCTGTGCTGTGGATGGTGAGTTGGGCCAGGGGCATGTAAGGCCATGGGCTGCAGGGCTGGGCCATGGGGTGCCGAATGGGGATAGGGATGCCTGTTTGGACTGCTCACATTTCCCCTCATGTGGGTGGCTCTGAGTTGTACCCAGTGTGGCTACTGGGATCTGGGACTATGGGCCAGCCATTGGCTGACCTTCATGGTTCTCCTGCCTGGTCTGGCCTATCAAAGGCGGCTGAGGTGATTCGTATGCAGGACCCGAACCCCTACAGCTTCCAGTCGGATGTCTACGCCTATGGGGTTGTGCTCTACGAGCTCATGACCGGCTCCTTGCCTTATAGCCACATTGGCAGCCGTGACCAGGTGAGCCCCACGCCTTACCTGTAATTTCCCAGGCTAAGGGACCCCCTCAGCCCCTAAACCCCAGATTTTCTCCTTTGCACAGACCAAGAATGCCACATTTCCTCCAGAAACCCCAAATTTTCTGCGCTTAGAACTCCCACAATCCTCTGGATCTTCTGTACCCAGAATCCCCTTCCCCCACAGCCACAATCCTCTGGGTCCTCAAAGTTCAGAAACTCCTGAATCTCCTATGCTCAGAAACCCCTTCAGCCCCCCAACACCCAGAAGTCCTCTGGACCCCTCGACAACTACCAGTCCTTTGGCTCATAGTCCTTGTACTCAAAATCCTGCAAGTCCCCAAAGCCCAGAATCTCATTTCTCCCAGAAACAGAATTCCTCTGTGCTTCTGTAGTACAGAAACCCACAGTTATTCAGGCCTTGGGTATTTGGCAGGTTTTGGGGCCCGGCATCCACAATACTGTAGGCCCCAGACTTTCACAGTTGTCCAGATCCAAGGCAGGCCTTCAGAAACCAAGGATCCTCTAGACTCCAGATACCAATAGTCCTACAGGCCACATGGACCCATAGTCCTCAGGCCTCAGACCCCGACAGAAATACAAGCTCCTGAGGGCTAGAATACTTTAGCCCCCTCCAGACCCAGCAGTTCACATTTCTCCCAGACTCAATACTTTCCAGGTCCCTAGGCCCCCTAGAAACCTATGGACCCATAATCCTCTCGGCCCTAGACACCTGAAATCCTTGACTTTCCTCAAGCTTAAATCCCTGTGTTCTGCTAGCAGAGATTCCTTGCAAGGCCTCAGAGACCCAGAATCCGTGGATTCACAAGATACCGCAATCCTCAGAGCCCCAATACCCAGAATCCCCAGTTCCCCCAAAGGAGCCTTCTAAGTTTCTTGAAAACTGAAATTCTCCAAGCCTTCCAGCCCAGATCCCTAGATCAGCCATTTCTCTCCCCCTCCCCCCAGATTATCTTTATGGTGGGCCGTGGCTATCTGTCCCCGGACCTCAGCAAAATCTCCAGCAACTGCCCCAAGGCCATGCGGCGCCTGCTGTCTGATTGCCTCAAGTTTCAGCGAGAGGAGCGGCCCCTCTTCCCCCAGGTGGGCCGGGTAGGAGGGCTGGATACCCTGGGGAGGGGACTCTGAGAAGGAGGAATGAGATATGAATGTGAACCATGTGTGTTTAGTGCTCAGAGGAATACAATGTGTGTGCATATACTTCCCTGTAAGGTTGGGGTCTGGTGGTATTGGGGTGCCCGTGTGACTGGATTCCCCTCCTCATGCTACCCTGCCCCTAGATCCTGGCCACCATTGAGCTGCTGCAGCGGTCACTCCCCAAGATTGAGCGGAGTGCCTCCGAACCCTCCTTGCATCGCACCCAGGCTGATGAGTTGCCCGCCTGCCTACTCAGCGCAGCCCGCCTTGTGCCTTAGGCCCCGCCCCCAGCCACCAGGGAACCAATCTCAGCCTTCTACACCAAGGAGCCTTGCTCACCAACCAATCAATGTTCCAGCTTTGCCCTGATACTGCCTCAGGATTCCCCATTTCTGCCCTGGGAGATGAGGGGGGTCCCCATGTGTTTTCCAATTTCTCTGGAACTGGGGCGACCCCAAAAGATTGAGACCACAGCCTCATCCATAGTTCAGTTTTCTCTTGACTTTGGGGATACTTCTAAATTTGGGAGCTCTTCCATCTACAATGGCTGGGATTTGTAGCAGGGATTCCACACAGAAACCTCTCTGGAATTTGTGCCCGATGTGCCTTCCACTGGATTTTGGGGTCTCCAGCACCCCATGTGGATTTGGGGGGTCCCTTCTGTGTCTCCCATGTCATTCAAGGACTTCCCCCTTTCTTCATCAAGAAGCACAGAATTCTGCTGGGCCTTTGCTTGTTTATTTTGCTTCCCGACTCTTCTCGTGGGGTTCAGAGCCGCTGAGGGGTGGGAGTGAGTCCAGGCAAGGAGTGGAGGTTGGGGGAAGGTGCAGACCACACAAACAGCGCCACTGCACGCATCACCACAGGCGGCACGATGAACGAGGACCACATATGCCAAGCACGCCACGAGAGGAGGCCACGTCAGTCACAGACACAGACATCACAGCAAAAGTGGGGAAGTGGGGGACCACTGGCCTTTCATGTGCAAAGGATTCTGGGAGGATGGGTGGAGTTTGCATATTTAAAGAGAGCTGTCAGAGGCAGGAAAGTGGGGCAGGGGTCCCTGGGGAACTGAGGGGTCCTACCAGTGGGAGGAGCTCCCAATGTATTGAATAGATTTGGGAGAGGAGGTGAAGGGAAATCCTTATGGGATTGGGTGGTGGCATTGGAAGAGGTGGGTCTCCAGAAATGGGAGATCCATGAAAGAGAGCTCAAAGGTAGGGGTTTCTTAAGGATTTGGGAAATTTTGGTGGGGAACTAAGTGTGCTTGAGCGATCTCAGACCATGAGTATGGTTTTCAAGGAATTTCAGGACCCCAGGAGGGGACTCTGTGGTGTAGGGCCAGAATAGGTTGCCTGGTGTTCGGGAACTTCTGGAAAGGAAACCATACTTTGGGAGTGGAGGTCCTCAGGAATTTGGAGGTGACCAGGAGTGGGCTTCCCAAGAATTTGGGAATTCTAAACATGAGAAATAGGTTTAGGACCAGAAGTGAGGTTTCCTTAGGGACATGGGCATTCTGAGGAGTGAGAAGAAGGATCTTGGTGAACCAGGAGAGGGCTTCTCAAGGGAGTTGGAGATTCCAAAAGTGAGAAGTGGATTCAGGGCCCAGAGAGGGGTTACCCAGGGATATTGGGGGTTTTCAGGGTGGGGTGTCAGTCGGAGAAGAGGCTGGCGAAAGACTTCCTCAGGCTGCGGATGGTCTCAGCTTTCACCTCGTCCTGGCTAAGGCTGGGCCTGGGCGGGGCTGGCTCTGGAAGGTTGAAGGCATTGGTCAGAGACTGGGATTTGCTAGAGAGAGACAAGGTGGAGGAGGTGTGGGAGGAAGGGGAGAAGAGGAAGGGAGGAGGGGGAGAGAAACACAATGTTACCCCAGGCCCAGCCCCAGCCCCAGCCCTGTCCCTCTGGTCCTGGGGCGGTGCCTGTGACCCTCCCCCCCATCAGCATGGTCCTGGTCCCTTATGGGTTATCAGGTGGGAGTCGGGGAGCCCTGGCCCAGGCCAGGAGCACTGGGATCTAAGGTAAAGAAGTCTGGCATTAATGGGAAGAGTCTTGGACTGAATCTTCTCTTCAAATCTGGGATAGACTGGGAGGAATTTGATAGAAAGATGAAGATGGACAGGGAGGTATTCAGTCCAAGGGTAAGGAGTCCAGGAGGGAGGGGGCATATACCAAGGACAGGCTGGGAGGAACAAATCTAAGGGGGAGCAGTTGGGTAGGGCAGTGAGGACTTTTGAGCTAAGGTGGGAGCAGGTCTGGAACGGACAAGAAGAGGCAGAGAATGGTGTGATGACTTCGGAGGAGACTGAGATGGACCAGGAGGATTTGGGGATAGACCAGAAAGGAGCCTGACCAACGATTTTCAACTGGTGTGCTACAAGAATTTTAAAATATGCAATAAGTGACTATGTAGTTAGGGGACCAACCTCTTTTCCCTTAGATTGTCAATTTTTTTTTTAAATGACAGCAGAGGCAACACAATAGCTGTCCGGTGTGAATGAAAGTTATACCTATTTTTTTTTTTTTGGTCACATTGGCAAAAATATTTTTTGGTGTGCCGCAGAATTTTAGTGATTAGTTTATGCCATGAAAAAGTGTGT